TTTTTTTTCAAATTTCATGACAACTGTGTACTCATAAATCCAAGAAATTCAACAAACTTCAAGCAGAAAAACAACAAAAAAAAGGAAACTTCACTAGAAAATATTTAAATCAAATTGACAAAACTTGCAACAAAGAAAATCTTGAGCTAGAAATAAGAACCATGACTTGCAGAAGAATCAACATAAGAATGAGAGCAAGCTTTTCAAAAGAACTCCAACAGACTAAAAGATAATAGAAAATAATTTTAAAGTAATGAATGAAAACTAAACCATTGAGCTATGTTTCTATACCCCCAAAAGTACTTTTTAAAAATAGTAGTAAAAAGGTTGATTTCTAGCACGACAACATCAAAAGCCTCTCTGACCTGCTTCCCAGTGAAACTGGTGGACATTATTTTAAAAAACAAACACACACACACATAATCATTTAAAGCCTCTGTAGATGGTCCTCTAGGGTAACGACAATATCTATTCAAGAAAATCTACAAATTTCAGTAAGTCTGTGGCAAGTGAATCAAGATTGATTCCCCCTATCCCAAGTTCAACAAGGCAAAAACTACACTCCAGACTACTGAAGCCAAGAATATAAGGTTTCCCTTTCTTCCCAACTCCCAGCCAGAGGATTTTCTTTTTTCCAGGATGAAAATGATCTCAGAGTTTCTCATCCTGACCTCAGCTACCTGGTGCCAAAGCTAAATCATGAGCAAGTGTGGCCCAAAAGTGAAGGCTCCTTTCTATACAACCTCTACTCATGGAATACAGGTACTGCTATGAGCTTGGAATGTTGAGGATATTAGACCCTCATAGTTCTACCTGTTGTACCAGTTGTGAGGTAGTGGATTCACAGCAGGAGAGAAACATCAGGCTGTTACCTCCTCCCTCCACTGAATGCTCAGCTTGTAAAGAAGAATGTCACTCAGAAAGAAATTTGTCATTGTTCTCATCCCCAGCTCTAGCGCTCTGGATAAGAGATGTTCCTCGGGGGAGAACAAGATGTAAGATAAATAGCTCCTAGTCTCTTCCCAAATAAACTGACACTTTTGGAAACAGAGTTTGGAGAAGTTTAAACCCAATGGGACTCTCAAGAGCAGTGGAAATTGCAGTCAAAGGCACATGGGAGAAGATCAAGGTATTTAACGAAGATACAGCCTACACAGGATACAGACTGTTTTTGTACAGGAAAACTGGGGAGTAAGGCAGCTGAGTGGAACACTCAGAACAAGTATCAAATACTAACTTCAGAAATTATTCTCTCAAAGGAGATATAAGTTGACTAGATTAGTTTGTAGAGTAAGTTATGTTCCAAGGACTTACTGAAAACAGTAGAGAAAATGGCCAGAAAGGAAAAATAGTAGATATTCATGAAGGGGTGTGATCAGAGAAAGAATGGAAGGCAGTCCTACCATATTGCTGTTATCCATTGATGACTATGAGCATACCAAAATTCGTTCCTCTTTAAGGAGGAATATCTGAGGACTAACACTGAAAGAGGAGAATAGAGAAATACTTCACTAAAACAATCCAGCCATTCACTAAACTAGTAAATAAGCAAATAACAATAACACGCACAGCAGAGGAGGTAATACCCAGATATTACCTAGAATGCCTACAATATATTATCTAAAATGTCCACTTTTCAACACACAAAAAAATGAGACATTCAAAGAAATAAGTAGGTATGACCCATACGTTACAAAAAAAAAAAAAAAAAAGGCAGGTAAGAGGTGGCACCTGTGAGAGCAGTTATCTAACTAGTAATTATATCATATTCAAATAAAGGACTGAAAACCAGCTGGGCATAGTGACTCACACCTGTAATTCCAGCATTTAAGGAGACAGAGGTGAGAGGATAGCTTGAGTCCCCTCCCCAAATAACATAGTGAGAACCCTTTCTCCACAAAAAGGAAGAAGAAAAAAAAAAGACAAAAAATAAAATAAAATTAGCTGTTAAAAACATACTCACAAAAGTAATTAAGGAATTAAAAACATTGTGACTCCACCACCTCACAACTGCAGGTAGAGCTATGAGGGTCTAGTATCCTCAACATTCCATGCTCTTAGCAGTATCTGCATTCTATGAGTAGAAGTTGTATAGAAAGGAGCCCCCACCTTTGGACCACATTTTCTCATGTATATTGACAATGTTGTCTCAAGTAGGGAATGTTAACAAAGAGATAGAAACTATTTTTAAAAAAAGAATTAAACGGAAATTCTAGGATTGAAAGTTCAATAGCTAAAATGTTTTAAAGATTCATTAATGGTTCAACAGAAGACTTGAACCAGTCAAAGAAGAAACTAGCAAGCTTGAAGTTTGGTTGATCAAGATTATGTGAGCCAAAATGTAGAGAGAGAAAAATGGAGAAATGAACAGTCTTAAAGAAAGGTAAAACACCACTAAGTGCACCAATATACACATAATAACAATATCATGAGAAAAGAGAAGACAGATAAAAAATTTCAGAAACATAAATAATGGTTGGAAATTTCGCAAATTGATTGAAAAATATTGAACAACATAAAGAGGAAGCACAATAAACTCCAGGCAGAGTAAACATAAAGACAACCACAGCTACACCTCATGGGAAAATATACTGATATTCAAAAACAGGGAGAATCTTAAAAGCAGCAAAAGAAAGATGCCACCTCTTTACAAATGAAACTCGGTGAGATTAACAGCAGAAATGCTGAAGGCCAGAGACAAAAAGAAAATAGATTCGAAGTTCTCAAAGAAAATAATGACAACCAAGAACCCTATGTGCAGAAAGATATTACTGAAAAATAAAGGTGAAATAAAAGCTTTTTCAGATAAACAAAAATCAAGAGAAGTTATAGCTATCAGACCATCTTATAAGAAAAACTAAGGGAAACCCTCCAGGATGAAAGCAAGTGACTCCAGACAGTAACCCAAATTGATAAGAACAAAGAAGGAACACCAGTAAGGGTAATTACGATTTACAAAAGACAATTTAAAGGCATTTTTTTTCTTTTTGAAAAACTGATTTAAACACCAATAAGTTCAAAGCATATTTACAAAAAAGAATATTTCAAGAAATAAAATGTGATATTTAATCCCATTTTTTCATTTACCATAAGAAAAAAACAATATTCGATGTCTAAGGACTTATATTGCTTCAAAACATATAAAAGAAAACCAAATAGAATTCAAAGAAACAACACAAAAATACAAAAATTCATACATACAGTTGGAATTTTTTTTTTTTTTGAGACGGAGTGTCCCACTGTCGCCAGGCCTGGAGTGTAGTGGCGTGATCTCGATCTCAGCTCACTGCGAACTCCACCTCCTAGGATCAAGGAATTTTCCTGCCTCAGCCTCCTGAGTAGCTGGGATTACAGGTGTCTGTCATCACACCCAGCTAAGTTTTTGTATTTTTTGTAGAGACAGGATTTCACTACGTTGGCCAGGCTGAGTTGTAAATTTTTCAAAGTCTCTCACTAATTAAAAGAAAATGTAAATAATCAGTAAGTGTATGCATAATTTGAACAACACTATCAACCAAGTTAAGCAAATTGACTACCCTACCCCCAAATACATACCCTTTTTAAGTACAGTTTGAACACTCACCAAGATAAACCACATGCTATCAATAAAATAGCTTAATAAATAAAGAGTACTAAAATTATACAAAGTATGAACTTTGACCATATTGGAATTATAGTAAAAATCAGCATCAGAAAGAGAACTGAAGTGCCTCAAGAATTTGGAATTTAAGTACTGTACATCTAAATAAACCATGGGTAAAGATGATACACAAAGAAAAATAGAAAATATTTTGAACTGAATTAAAATGAAAATATAATATATCAAATTAATATGATGCAGCTAAAATAGTTCTTAAGAGAAAAATTATGATATTAAAAAAGTTATGTTAAAAAGTCCTTAAATGAATGATCTCAGGTTTATTTAAAAAAAAAAAAGACAAACCAATGTGTGCTTATGATAAGCATAAGAAATCAACTAAGGGATATGAAAGTGGAAATTAATGAAATAAAAGATAGAAAAATGAAATAAAGGACTTGTAGGTTTTTAAGATCAATAAAATTGATAATTCTATGGCTTATCTGAATAAGAAAAATGAGAAAAATGTAAATTTCCAGTATTAATAAAGAAAGCAGAAATATCACTATATATATATTATAACTTTGGTAAGTTAGATTAAACAGAAAAATTTCTTAAAACACACCACTACCACCAAAGCTTGCTCAAGAAGAAATAGAATATTCATTCATATATTTAGATTAGTAGTTTAAACTATTTCCACAAAGAAAACTCAAGGCCCACGTGTACTGAATAATGAACTCCACCAAATATTTTAAAAAGAAATATTTAACAGTTTTTAAGAAAGACATCTAAAAAATAGAAGAGCAGCAAACACATCTTACCTTATGCATACAGATGCAAACATTCTCAAACATAGTTTAGCAAATTTTTCTTTCTTTTTTGAGACACGGTCTAGCTATATCACCCAGGCTAGTGTGCAGTGGCATGATCTCAGCTCACTGCAGTCTCTGCCTCCCAGATTCACACAATTCTCATGCCTCAGCCACCTGAGTTGCTGGGATTACAGGCATGCACCACTATGCCTGTCTAATTTTTGTATTGTAGTGGAAATGGAGTTTCACCTTGTTGGCCAGGTTCACCTGGAATTCCCTGGTCTCAAGTGATCCACCTGCCTTGGTCTCCCAAAGTGCTTGGATTACAGTTGTGAGACACTACATCCAATCTTTTGGCACATTTAATACAATAGTTTCTAAAAATAGTATACTATATTATGACCAGGTTTAGTCCAGGAATGCAAGGTTTAAGTGTTGAATTCAATGTAATTCACAATATAAACTAGAAAATAAAAACTTTACAATGATCTCAGAATATGCAGTAAAAGCATTTGAAAAATGTTAATGTATAGTCATAATAAAAACTCTCAACTATAAATACAAAGAAAATTTCTCAATGTACTAAAGTACATCCGTGAAAAACTTACCGCTAACATGATACTTACTGGTGAAAGACTGAGTACTTTCTCTCTGGAAAGAAAAGAACATGTATTTTTCCCCCAAAATACTATCTACTACAAAATGCTCAACATTCTATTATACTTAATATTTAATACTTGGTACTTAATATTTATTTTGCTTACACTTAATATTTGACATATTTCAAATAGGGTTTTGATTGCCATGCAATGAAAAGAACACAAAAATAGTTTTAACAAGTTAAATACACAATCTAACTTAACTCAGCTTTTTTTTGAGCCATTTTAGAAAAGACACCAAATTCTTTTAGGATTAACAAGCAATTCCTGTTCAAGGTTCTGTGTAATCCTACGCCATGTTCTATTTAGATATGGACACTTTTTTCTCAGAGTCTTAAATTCAAACATATAAAACAAACAGAAAGAAACAAATATTACCAAGTGAAAAAGTAGACAAGAATCTAATGTACAGATTATACAGATGTAGGTGAAGATCTAATTGGACTAGAGTTCCAACTGGATAATGAAAATTCAAGCAATAAGAATTCCTAGAGGATTTAGGGCTTTGGAAATGCCATGGATTATAAGAGTTGCAAATTCTGTGGTGTCATCCCTATTCAAAGTCAAGTAATCATTCTCCATTTGCCCAGCATACCATCTTGATTGCTGATTGTTCACCACTGCATTGCTTCTGTAAATCACGTTAGTCCTCAGAAACTGCTCTGTTCAAGATGGCTCACCTTTCCAGGAGTGACCACAAGATGTAGTCATGTGAAGATGCAAAGGCCTGGTCCTTTTGCCTAAGTTTGGAACTACTCTGAAGATCCATCATAGCTGCAGAACTAGAGGCAGGATTACCTGAAGCTTTTGGTGCAATTACTTTGCAATAGCCCCTTTCTCTGCTTAGTCCTGCCTTCTTCACTGCCTGATAGTTCTGTCTCCCAAGAGCACTCCCCAATAAGCATTCTGCTCACAACTCCCTGCTTCAGAATCTGCTTCCAGGGAACCCAATGTAAAACCATGAGTGAGAACTGAAACAATACTTGCAAGAGAGTGGCTTGTCAGGTACATGGTGCTGTTTTTGAAAAGGCTCACTTTTCAGTGGATTGATTAGTGAACAGGACGCAATGTGACTAAGGTGTGTGAAATGGGCAGGGTCATCAGAAAATAAAATAGTAGAACTGCTGAATTTAAATAACAAATATTTTTATTAAAAATATTTCTCAGAAATTCCCTTTATATCACTAAATAGAAAGTAAAGTTAGCTTGCAAAAATTATTTACTTACAAAGAAAGTGGGACAGAATCATTTGACAATTTGACGTCTAGAACCTGAGACTGCCAAGTACATTCTGGCAGCATTGGCACTGAAGCCAGGGCAAATTTAAAGGATGCCAACAGGAAAAGCTGGTACTAATGCTGGAAATTGCTTAAACTTAGACACTAAAGTCAATTCACTTTTACATAACAATAAGGTAGAAAGAGGGCTAAAATTAAACCTTTACATGATAAACACTTTTGGTATCCACACCTAGCTATCTGTGAAATCATCATCCAACCCTCCTTCTTCACCCATCCACCTATATATCTACTAGGAATGAATCCAACCACCTGGTTTCTAAAATAAGAACTGTGAGAGCAAATTTAGAATCTTACTCACAAAATAGTTACATGCATTTGCTACCTCAGTCCCAAACTGGCTGCTACCTCTTTATTAGTGTTCAAATTCTTCCTTATTGCTCCCCAATTCCATTTTTATTTCTATAAGGCTGCTAATCAATATTGGGCAAATTATTGCAACAGCTTTCTTGCAACCAGTGTCTTCCAAACTAATCCAAAAGTTCAAAGAATGAATATTCTAAATGCAAATTTAATCCTGTTATCCTTCTTTACAACATGTTCCATTGTTAAGACATATATCAGGCTTCTTACAACAGAGTAGAAGGCCCCAGTATACATTTTATGAGTTACCTTTTCAGATATTTATCTTAACATCAAATCATGAGGTCCAAATACATTATATTACTTTCAGGTCTCACAAATTTGGGCCTGTTTACATAATTTCTCTTCCTAGATCTATAACTTTGTATCTCAAAAATTAGTGTCATTGAAAATATGCTTTGCAAAAAATATTTAATTAGCTGAGTTTTTTAAAGAATTAAATTTGAATGAACATAGTGTTAGCATGCATTCTCCAGTCAACTTTGGGTCCCCCTGACTTTTTTTTTTTATGATGTTTAGGGAAGTTGCTTAGATTTATTAGTATACATCTAAGGGGTCTCACTATGCTGTAAAGTTTTTTCCTAAACTCTTGTTCCCAAGTGTCCCTCTTTCCTCAGGCTCCCAGGGTGCTAGCACTACAGGTGTGAGCTACCATGCCCAGCCCCGGTATTTGTTTTTTATCACTACATTTCTCTAATTCATGAGCTGAAACTTTTCTGACTATGTTTGTCTGCCTCAAGGTTTTCTCTTCTGTGTGTATAGAATCAGGTCCCTTTAATAAATATATAATAGTACTTTCAAATTTATTTCTTATATATTACTTCCATTTTGTCTCTTGCTGACATTTTAAACTTTAGAATGCCATATATGGACTCCCGGGCAAGATGGTTGAATAGGAATAGCTCCAGTCTGCAGCTCCCAGCAAGGCCGACACAGAAGACAGGTGATTTCTGCATTTCCACCTGAGGTACCCAGCTCATCTCTTTGGGGCTGGTTAGGCTGTGGGTGATGCCCATGGAAGACAAGCCAAACCAGAGTGGGACATTGCCTTACCCGGGAAGTACAGGTGGTCAGCAAACTCTCTCCCATAGCTAAGGGAAGCCTTGAGTGAATTTGCCATGAGGAACAGAGCTATCCAGCCCAGGCACTATGCTTTTCCCACAGTCTTTGCAACCCACAGACCAGGAGATTCTCTCAGGTACCTATGCCACCAGGTCCCTGGGTTTCAAGCACAAAGCTGGGTGACTTTTTGGGCAGACACTGAGCTAGGTGCAGGAGTTTTTTTGGTACCACAGTGGCCCCTGGAATACCAATGAGATAGAACTGTTCACTCCCCTGTAAAGGGGGTTGAAGCCAGGGAGCCAAGTGGTCTTGTACAGTGGATCCCAACCCCACAGAGCCCAATAAGGCTTGAGATTCTCACCACCAGCACAGCAGTCTAAAGTCAACCTGGGATGCTGGAGCTTAGTGGGGGAAGGCGTGTCCATCATTACTGAGGCTTGAGTAGGCAGTTTTCCCCTCACAGTGTAAACAAAGGCTCCAGAAAGTTTGGACTGGGTGGAGCCCACTGCAGCCCCACAAAGCTGCTGTAGCCAGGCTGCCTCTCTAGATTCCTCCTCTCTGGGCAGGGCATTTCTGAAAGAAAGGCAGCATCCCCAGTTAGGGGCCTGTAGATAAAACTCCCATCTCTCTGGGTCAGAGCACCTGGGAAAAGGGGTGGCTGTGGGCACAGCTTCAGCAGACTTAAACATTTCTGCCTGTTGGCTCTGAAGAGAGCAGCAGCAGCAGACCTCCCAGAACAGCACTCAAGCTCTGCTAATGGACACACTGCCTCCTCAAGTGGGTCCCTGACCCCCATGCCTCCTGATGGGGAGACACCTCCCAGCAGGCGTTGATGGACACCTCATACGGGAGAGCTCCAACTGGCATCTAGTAGGTGCCCCTCTGGGATGAAGCTTCCAGAGAAAGGAGCAGGCAGCAATCTTTGCTGTTCTGCAGCCTCTGCTGGTGATACCCAGGCAAACAGGGTCTGGAGTGGAACCTCCAGCACGCTCCAGCAGACCTACAGAAAAGGGGCCTGACTGATAGAAGGGAAACTAACAAACAGGAAGCAATAGCATCAACATCAGCAAGAGGACAGCCACTCAAAAACCGCATCCGAAGGTCACCAACATCAAAGAAGAAAAGTACACAAATCCACGAAGAGGCGGAAAACCAGCAGAAAAGGCTGAAAATTCCAAAAACCGTAATGGCTCTTCTCCTACAAAAGGTCAGAACTCTTGCCAGCATTGGAAAAAAACTAGACAGAGAATGAGTTTGACAAATTGACAGGACTAGGCTTAATAAGGTGGATAATAACAAACTCCACTGAGCTAAAGGAGCATGTTCTAACCCAATGTAAGGACACTAAGAATCTTGAAAAAATGTCAGAGAAATTGCTAACTAGACTAACCAATTTAGAGAAAAACATAAACGACCTGATGGATCTGAAAAACACAGCACAAGTACTTTGTGAAGCACACGCAAGTATCAATAACCAAATGGATCAAATAGAAGAAAGGATATCAGAGTTTGAAGATCAACTAAATGAAATAAAATGTGAAGACAAGGCTAGAGAAAAAATAATGAAAAGGAATGAACAAAGCCTCCAAGAAATATGGGACTATGTGAAAAGATGAAACCTACATTTGATTGGTGTAACTGAGAGTGATGGCGAGAATGGAACCCAGTTGGAAAGCATACTTCAATGTATTATCTGGGAGAACTTCCCCAACCTAGCAAGACAGGCCAACATTCAAATTCAGGAAATACAGAGAACACCACAAAGATACTCCTGGAGAAGAGCAACCCCAAAACACATAAAAGTCAGATTCACCAAGGCGTTTGGGGTTGCTCTTCTCCAGGAGATAAGAACAGCCAGACACAAATGTTAAGAGCAGCCAGAGAGAAAGGTCAGGTTACCCACAAAGGGAAGCCCATCAGACGAAGAGCGGATCTTTCTGCAGAAACCCTACAAGCCAGAAGAGAATGGGGGCCAACATTCTTAAAGAAAAGAATTTTCAACCCCAAATTTTATATCCAGGCAAATTAAGCTTCATAAGTGAAGAAGAAATAAAATTCTTTGCAGACAAGTGAATGCTGAGTGATTTCCTCACCACCAGATTTGCCTTACAAGAGCTCCTGAAGGAAACAGCAAACATGGAAAGGAACAACCTGTACCAGCCACTGCCGAACACACAAAAATGTAAAGACCAGAGACACTGTGAAGTAACTGCATCAGCTAATGGGCAAAATAACCAACTAGCATCATAATGACAGGATCAAATTCACACACAAAAATATTAACCATAAATGTAAATGGGCTAAATGCCCCGATTAAAAGACACAGACTGAGAAATTGGATAAAGATTCAAGATGCATCCGTGTGCTATATTCAGGAGACACATCTCACATGTAAAGACACAATAGGTTCAAAATAAAGGTATGGAGGCAGATTTACTAACCAAATGGAAAGCAAAAAAGAGCAGGGGTTGCAAACCTAGTCTCTGACAAAATAGATTTAGACGAAAATCAAAAGAGACAAAGAAGGACATTACATAATGCTAAGGGCATCAATGCAACAAGAAGAGCTAACTATCCTAAATATATATGCACCCAAAACAGAAGCACCCAGATTCATAAAGCAAGTTCTTGGAGACCTACAAAGAGACTTGACTCCCATACAATAATAGTGGGAGACTTTAACACCCCACTGTCAATATTAGATCAATGAGACAGAAAATTAACAAGTATAATCAGGACTTGAACTTAGCTCTGGACCAAGAGGACCTAATAGACATCTACAGAACTCTCCAACAGAAATCAACAGCATATACATTCTTCTCAGCACCACATAGCACTTATCCTAAAATTGATCACATAATTGGAAGTAAAACACTCCTCGGTAAATACAAAAGAATGGAAATCATAACAGACTCTCAGATCACAGTGCAATCAAATTAGAACGTACTCAAAACGCACAACTACGTGGAAACTGAACAACCTTCTCCTCAATGACTGCTGGATTAAATAGCAAAATGAAGGCAGAAATAACTAAGTTCTTTGAAACCAATGACAACAAAGGCACATTGTACCATAATTCCTAGGATACAGCTAAAGCAGGGTGTAGAAAGAAATTTATGGCACTAAATGCCCACAAGAAAAAGGAGGAAAGATCTG